GTGCTGTGGGGAGATGGAATGTGGCGGTGTGGAGCCTGGAAAGCCCCCTGCTCCCCCTGCCCCCGCAGGTGACAGACCAGAAAGGGGGAAGTAAGGGACTCTAGGAAGGAGAAATGTATATTAAATGCAGAAGAAGTCAGAGACAATTCAAAAAGAACCTGGCATTTTTCTCTCCAGATCTTGCCACGCACGAGCAAGACTAAAAACCTGCTGGTTCGTCTGGAATGTTAACCCAGTTCGAGTGTTTCTCTCCTCACTTTCTATTGCTCTTAGTCTCAATTCTAAGTGCCTCGATCTCTCCACCTGCTGGGATTAGAGACATGCTATAGGACGGGGCTGAAAGGACAGGGTGTTCCAGGTTAGCTGGGGAGAGTTAGCTGGAAAATATGGGGGTGGGGTGAGGACAGATAACAAAAACAAGAGAACTCCTCGGCCCACAGCTGAGCCAGCCCACTTCACCTCCTCTCTCCAGCCCACTAATCTGCTTCCTGTGTCAGCCACAGACGATGTATCCAATCAGCCATGGCCACTAGTCATGTGCACACCCCCAAACATCACAAACCCACAGCAGGCTAAGTGGCGGGGGAAGGAACTCGAAAAGAAAACAGAAAAAGTGGAAAAGGGCCAACCAAACAAAAAGGAATGACTTCTTTCTCCAAAACACAGATGGAAAAAAGGAGGTTTCTCTGGATTTTCATCTCTGAAAATCTGCCAGTTAAAATGTGTCCATGTATTCTCCAAATACAATTTTTGTTTTCTAAGGATATGTGTGTGAACTGTCTCCAAAGAGCTAAGCCTGGGGGACCCCCAAATACTACCTACGAAGAAAATCCATACCAGCTGCAACCATTCTCCATGTCAGGAAGGAAGTTTTGGGCACTTAAGGTGTACACAGATAGCCAGATTCAGATGTTCACATAGGGTGGAGGGGAGATCCACAGTTCCTTGACATTCTACAACTTGCAAGGCCTCCCCCCTTCCCCGGAACCCCAACCCAGAACGCCTGGAATTGGGTGAAAAGGGAAGATTGGTGAGGGCCAAGTGTTGTCTGGAAGAGAATAAGCCAAGGTTTTGGTCCCTCAAACTCTCCCTAAGTCTACTAGGCTTTATAGAAAAGGACTAAGAAGCCGGGAAGAACAATGAGGGGCCGTTCTCCTGCTGGGAGGCCTCCCCAAACCCAAAACTCCCCGAACAGTGGGGGTGTCTTCTCCAGTACGGAAAGTGTTAAAATCCAAATGCTCCGGCATGCCCTATCTACAGTTCCCTTAGAGTATCCTTTTCACATACTGGAAAGTAGGGTGACCACCCTCCCCGCTTAAGACTGCGTCCCAATTAGGCCAAGTTTCTTACCCCACAGACGGATCAGCTGTTCCCTCACCTTTCACCAACAACAAAAACAGCACTCCGACTCCAGAGGGGAGGGAGAAGCGTGGGCGCGACGGCTCCTGGGGTTTGTGGTTCTCGCGCGCCCTTCTCCGCCTGCGCGCTCGGGGCCCCGAGACTACACATCCCAGGAGGCTGCGCGCGAGGGGGCGGAGAAGAGGGCGGTGCCGCCGCGGCATCCTGGGACGCGTAGTTCTCATTCGCGTGGCCGCGGACGAGGGTGTGGCCACGGGAGGACTGCACGGCCCATGATCCCCTACGAGGGGGCGGGCCGCGCCGGACGAGGCCGCTGGTTCGTAACGAGCATTGTTGGCGGGCGGGGAGGATTTACGGCTCCAACACCTTGGGTCTAAGGCTTTGCGGGGCCTGCACGCTTTCGGGTACGCGCTCCCGTTCGCTTTTCAGGGCCTCCCGTGGGCTAGTTAGCTAGTTTACAGATGAAGAAGCTGCAGCCCGGGACGGTCCAGTGTCTAAGCTGTGGGATGGTAGAGCTCCGCTAGGGTCGCCCGACTGCGTGGCCAGTGCCCTCGCCACTACACCACGGCGACCCAGCGCTGAGGACTGGCGGCGTCAGCCGGGTAGCAGTTTCTTCATTGCTCAGTCTCAGGGACGGAGCTTGTAAAACGTATCCTGCACGGCTGACCACTCCCTTCCACCCTGAGGATTTCAGTGCTAAATTAGGGTCTGACAATACACCCCCGGACTAGAGTGGCTTCCGGGTCTAGGAAAAGGGTACATTGCCTGCGGCGGTGGTGGGAGCCGTGGAATGAGATGAAGTTGAAAAGGGAGCTTGGCATAATTCAGGACCTGTCACAACTCACAAACAAGCCACTTACAGGGGCCTGTTTGCCCAAGCCTTTTAACTGGCTTGAATTAATTAGAATAACAATGCTTGTTGTTGCTCTGGTTTTTTATTTAGGAGATTTGAAAGACTCGTGCTCCTCTCACAGCCCAGCTCACCGTAAAGACTTGGACATCGCCCCTTCCCCCCTTCTATCCCTGCTCCATTCCTGTAGTCTGAGCCATACAGAAAGATCTTTCTTCCTGTCTCTGCGTTAAGGGATTAGTCTCACAACGCCCTTTTCCTAGGGACCTCCGTGAATTCTCTGCAGCGTGAGGGGGCTTCTTCCTTTACCAAGGTTTTGGTAGTGTTTTGCCTTTGTGACCGAATGGGGTGTCTGGCACCTGCCCTTTGGTGCCTGTCATCTGAAGATCCCCTAACGTGTAAGAAGTTACTGGGCTGCACAAACATTAGGGTGACACATCTGTGTCATTAGTCAGGAATTATGAGTTTGAGAACAGCCTGCTGGGTGAGGAGACGGCTCAAGATCCTGAGGTGGGTTAAGAGTGAGGCCTGTTCAAGGTCCAGAGTCTCAAGTGTTCTTGGTTTTTTGTCTTCCACCCAGAGTAAAAACTTATAGAAAACTCCAGTGTTGATGGAGCTAAAAATGATAACTTCCATTTATTGGATGCCTACAATGTGTTTAACCTGTGCTGAGAATTTTCCCATGTATTATAACAGCATTATATAGCAGTCTCTGGTTTTTATTTTTAGTTTAGTTTTTGCTATAAGATGCTTGTGCTTGTGGAGGTGATAGGAGGTGGACAGGGGAGTGAGAAATCACTGACAGGAGTCGGGAATGGGGAGAATGACCACACAGCAGTCCCTTCTCCTCCAGTCTCGCGGGATGTGGACCATGCCTGCACACTCACCTGGCATGATTTGTCAAGTCACCGCGAGTCTAGGACCAGAACTGTACAGTTGGCCATGGAGGATCCAACACTGTAACCTCCAAATCACCTTCTTGTTTGAGCAAGCCCTATTATTATCCTTATTTTACATAGGATGAGATTGAGGCATAATTAAGTGACTTGTCTAGAGTCACTGGCTAGTAAGTGGTAGTATTATCACATACCATGTGGCCCACATATACCATACTCAAGCACTCCCTAATGAGATAGGAATTAGACCCACTTACAGTAGACAGGATAAGGGCCCGGAAAGGAAGTCACTGTTTTGTTTTTAATGAAGTCTCTCTTCATTAAAAAGATTTCTTTTTGATGAAGTATTTACTCTATGGTCTGACTAATGCAAAATGTACACCCCTTTTACATGTCTCTAAAGAATTTATGACTCCAGGGACTAGCAGATGGTGTAATGGTTTTGTCACTGGACTCTCACGTAGCAACCATCCTTTGAGTCCCGGACCTGGTGGCTTGAAACCCATGCCAGGTGCGTGTGCGTGCAGATGTGTCCAAAATCTTGCGTGGAGACTGGAGAAGGGATTGTAGCATGGCCATCCCTTCTGGGGGATGATTTCTGTCTTTCTATCCCTTTGTGTCTCTCTGGTGAACACACATACCCTATAGCGAAAGTCTCTCTTAAAAAAAAAAAATCCAAAAGAATAAAAGAATGTATGACTCCTTACTAGTAAGGCAGGAGATATGGTTATCAAGCACACAGGATGTGAGGGCGATCTGTCTATGACATCTGTCACCCCATTGATCGCCAGGGTTGATTCGGCTGATGGGCTGGCTAGGCGAGTGTCACCTTCCTCCCTCACTCATCCGTGTGTGCGTCCCCACTGAAGCTGTGCACTTGGCCATCCTGGATAGAGGAGGACTGTTCTTTGGTCAAGGGTATACAAGTAGCCGAGCTCGCCTGCTAGAACCTCCAAACAAGCTCTCAGGCACACAGACAAGATAAAACCAAAATGGAGTCACAGAGGCTGTTTTCACAGCCAAGAGCTGGCAGTGTTGGGACTCAAAGCAATTAGCTAAAGGCAACAGTTTCTACTCAGTAACTGCATTCTAACAATTTATAGGATAATGAATCACTCAGAGTACAATGTTACTATTTTATTTTTTAAGAGAGAATTTTTGCTATCAGGTGTGTGTGGTCACTGTAAAGACAGAGACAGAAAGTGAGAAATCACCCCCCAGGCAAGATGGCCAAACCACAGTCCTTTCTCCTCCCCTCCCCTCTTGGGATTGTGGGCATGCACACACACACACACCCAGGCATGAGTTTAAGCCACCGGATCTGGGCCTCAAACTATAGTGAACTATGTGGGAGTTCAGTGATGTAACCATCACACCACCTGCTGGCCTCCATGTTACTATTTTCTTTTTCTTTTTTTTTTTGGGGGGGGGGAGAGGTTTTTAACAATAGGGTATGTGTGAGCACGAGAAAGACAGAGACACAAAAACAGAATGCAAGAAATCACCCCCCAGGGGGGATGGCCACACTACAATTCCTTCTCCTCCATTCTCCTCTCGGGATCTTGGGCACACATGCACACACACCTGGCTTGAGTTTAAGCCACCGGGTCTGGGACTTGAATCGCGGTTGACTACATGGCAGTCCAGCAACATAGTCATTACACCAACTGCTGGTCCCTATGTTACTATTTTCTTTTCTTTTTTTTCCCCAAGATGTTTTATTTATTTCAAATTCCAATAGAATGAATATGTTTTATCTAAACATTTTTTTATCATACAACTGAAACATTGAATTACTTTTTCAGAAATAGACTTAAATACTTCCTTCTCAAAAAGCCAGTGCATTGCTGGTACTGCTAGATAAAAACCCCTCACCTCCAGCTTTTCTTTGGCAACCCATTCAGGCCCCCTTCCACTGCATTGGAAGATTTTTCTCCTTCCTTAATAAACTCTGCTTTACTCTCCTCTCTGTGTTTGTATGTCTAATTCTTCATGAGCATAGGACAAAAACCAGTGTGAGTGTTAGATCTGATCACCCAGCATGCCAGCATCACTAACGGTATTTTTCTTTAAGTAACATGATGCAGGCCAGTAGTGGAGGCCTCCACTTAAAAAAAAAAAAAAAAAAAATTCCTGCCTGAACCCACTGGAACCAAGATGGCATCTGGAACCACTGGCTACCTAACCTTCAAACTATATACCCATTGTACTGCATTAACAACATACTAGACAATACACAGGGCCATGACTGTTTACAATCTCTATGGTCACAACTGGAAATGACCATACAAAGAATAAGGGGGCCAGCCAGTAGTGTGGTTAACTTGACTGCTTTACTGACTGTGCAGGTTCAAGTCCTGGACCTGGCAGCTTGAAAAACATGCCAGGTGCGTGTGTATGCCCAAAATCCTGAAAGGAGGGAGAAATAGAGAAGATATTGTAACTTGACCATTGCCCCTGTGGGGTACTTTCCTCCTTTTTCTCTCTTTCTCTGGCAAGTACATGTGTCCTCTGGCAAAATTTAAAAAAAAGGTGGGGGGGGGGTGAACAGCAGGTGGTGTGGTGGTTAAAAGTGCTGGAAAAAAGGGTGGGGGGGGGGTGAACAGCAGGTGGTGTGGTGGTTAAAAGTGCTGGACTCCCACATGATGAACCATAGTTCAAGTCCTGAACTTGGTGGCTTCCTTTCTCACTTTCCCTTTCTTTCTCTCTCTGATCAAATTAGAAAATAATAGTAAATAAAGTTTAAATAATTATTTTAAGAAAAAAATCAAAAAGAAAAGACCAGCAGACGGCGTAATGGTTACATCACTGGACTCTCATGTATTCAACCATGGTTTGAGCCCTGGACCCGGTGGCTTAAACTCACCCCAGGTGCGTGTGTGTGTGTGCCCAAAATC